TGTTGTAAAGTCTCAGCACACAGAGAACAAGAAGAGATCCATCTGTGTGTCCTACGGGGGTGTCGTGGGTTTGAGCCCTGGCCGAAGCCAAAGCACCCAGGACAGTTCCCCCCATCCCTGAGGAGGCAGAGGAGAAGAGCAAAAGCCTAATTAACAACCAAAATTTATGGCTTTGAGATAAGGTGTTTTTTGAAAGAAAGATTTTTTCCCGCACTCCAGTCATGGTAAAACAGGCTGAAAAACTTCAGTTGCAAAATAGATTCAATACTAAAAACTACTAAGAATGCTACTCGTGAAAATTGGGAGGGGAGGGGAGGGGAAATGGAAGGATCGGGGAGCTAATCTAAAGAAAAATGGACATTTTTAAGACACCTGTGCAGGGGATGGGACTAACAACCTAAGAGCTGAGACTGGCAGCTGCAAACTACCTTGTTTTGAATTCTTTTTAAGTACAAGACCATAAATCATCACAGAGGGGTAACCAACCTGTGCAATCGGCCCAGGCCTGACCAGCAGCCTGTCCATCACCCTCAGAGCCATCACAGAACACAGGGGGCAGGGCTCCTTGCTGGAGATGAAACAGAAAGCTTCCAGAACTTTCTCACAGGAGCCATCTTTGAGGTTTCTTGGTCCCAGCCCCCCACCACCAAAAAACCTCACCGAGGAAAACCACCATAGGGGGTAAGGGGTTACTGCCTCCTAAAGCCTCCCATTGTGTATTTCTGGCCCGTGGCAGTATCAATATGCAGAAGGAAAGCTCAGGGCAGAGGAGGGAGCAGCTGGGGAGGGCACTGCGGTCACTGGGAGAGGGTGGCAGGAACAGAGCAGCTGCTGGAGGAGAGGAAGGAGGGGCAGGGATGAAGGAAAAGATTGCACTGACCTGTTGAGTGTGGGGCAGCAGCAGGCAAAGGGTGTCTGTCCAGATCAGCGGCGCTTCCTGGTACCTCTTGCTTTTTTTTCAGATCCTTATCATAAAGCAGATCCTCCATAAATCAGTAAATAGAGCAAAAAGTGCCCAGATCCCCAGGAGGTCCCCACTCCTGTCCCACCATCTCCTCTCCGTGCCCTGTACTGGTGTCGCTCCTCAAGATTTGGTGGAGTCGTGGGGGGAGTCGGAAATTCCATCTTTGGCAACATCAGAGTCTCACTTCCTCTGAGTTATTTGTCTTCATTTTTGCTTTCTTTTTCTTTTTGCTGCTGAGGAAGTGGGTTTTGCAAGGAGCTGCACATTCAGATATTTGTTAACAGATCCTCATTTCCTCCCTGTAGGAAACACTCCTTCCCTGCAGAATGTCCCATTCTCGGACTGCCTTCCCTCCCCTCACAGGTTTCTGCCATTCCTCGTTTCTCTTCCCTGAGGGTTCATGGTCCCTCCAGCAGCAGAGGGATGCTGGTGCTGCTGGTGGCACTGGAATGCTGGTGGTGCTGGCAGTGCTGGGGAGGCAGCTGGGTGCTTCTCAGAAACAACTCCCATTCTGGGAAGAGCATCAGGATCATTGCAGAATCCTCCCCTGGGCCCAAAGGAGGACAACATAGCCAAGAATTCCCATTTTTCCAGTGTAATGTTGACTCTAACAGCCCAAGAGAAGAACAGCAGAGAGATGTTTGCAGCCAGGTTATCAGCACTCAGAGCCACCTTAATTACTCCCAATCCCTTTAATGATGCAATGAAAGCTATTAGGGACCAGATTTTTGGGCAATGTGATCCCTTCCAGCACTTCACCAGCAGCTTATCTTCCTCGTCCTCAGTCTTGGGAGCACTTGTGGGTGTTTTCACCTGATCCCACCCCTTTGCCAGCAGGGACATCTTCCACCAAACCAGATTGCTCCAAACCCCATCCAGCGTGGTCTGGAACACTTCCAGGCATGCAGGGGCAGCCACAGCTTCTCTGGGAAACCTGTGCTGGGGCCTCCCTACCCTCACAGGGAAGGATTTCTCCCTAATATCCAATCTGAACCCACCCTCTATCAGTGGGAAGCCATTCCCCCTTGTCCAGTGTCCCTCTCCAGCTCTCCTGGAGCCCCTTTAGCTCATGGATCATGAACTGTTTGCCCTTGACAGGGCTGGCCTAGTGAGGGGATGTGAGATTCCATTGCTGGGGACATGAATGTGGAGTTGGAAGGGAAGAGAGGAGGCAGTTCTGGTCCCAGGGTCTCCATAAATGCCAGTTTCCTGCAGGAGCATCCCAGCTCCCAGATACATGCCAACCTAGATAGGAATAATCTCAACTCATTTCACCTTTGTCGAAATTCCATGGAATTCRCTGTCGGCTGCTGTCTGACTCCCAAGGGAGGATGGACAATGATTTATACGAAACGTCCAACTTTCTAAGGGTTGTATCAAGGAGAGCAGCATTGATTCAGCTCTACTCAGAAAAACTTGCATTCCTGAAATCCTAAATCTTCCCTCTCCTCTGTAACTTTTGCTCCAGCTCATGCAGAGAATTTATTATTCCATGAATCGTCTTTGAAACTATAGGAGGAAAGTCAAGTACCACTGGAATCGTGGTGTCCTAATGGTAAAAATACATTTGAACCAGGAATCAAAATGTTGTACTGCAGTGTCTTAAGGATCCTCCCCAGGANGTGAAAGATATCACTGTCAGTGAGTTCCAGGTTGAGGAGGCAGAGCACAGCCCCGTTCCCAAACAGCCCACAGAGGCTGATGAGCAGTGTGACACTGTGGATGGCCACGCTGGTGACATCTGTCTCACATGGATCTTCAGTGGGTGATGCAGGAGATGGGGACACGGTGCTCATGTTCATGGATGCACGCTGGGCAGGCAGTGGGATGTGGCCCCTGGCTGTGGTCAGAGTGGATGGGCAGTCAGTGCTTGGAGAATCCCAGGATGGACCATGCAGCTCTTCAGCAGCTCCCTGGAATGGGAAGGATTCAGAGCAGACAATTGAGATGTGCAGGGGAGGAGAAGGGTGGTGAAAATGGTGGGGTGGGAGGGCTGGTATGTTCAGCAGGAGACTGAAAAATAACACATGGTATAAACATTTTCAGCTCCCCAGGAAGTACTGAAAGACCAAGAGGAGAAAAAGATAAGAGCATGTGAAGGTGTGGACACAGGATGATAACCATGGCTGGAACGAGTGGAGAAACAGATAAGGAGGCCTTTAATGGTTTTAGGGCAAATTCTGTAAAAAGAAACAACAGTGCACGGCCAAAGGAAAGGTTCAAGGCAAGGTCACCTTTAATATCACAGCACTCAGTGAATGCGACCACCAGAGACCCCTCTCAATGAACCTCCAGGACCATGAAAACACTTTCAGTAGGAGGTGGATAATGGAAATTAGAAACTGGTGCTTATGTATCAGATAGGAAACACGTTTAATGGCTGTGTGTGGTTATAATGAATAAAAACCCTGTTGTAAAGTCTCAGCATACACAGATAAAGGAGGGATCCTTTTGTGTATCTGTGTTGGTTTTGTTTGGCCCAGTTTTTGGAAGTGGGGGGGCCAAAAAGATGGCTCCTTTGAGAAGCTTCGTGCCCTGTCCCAGTGTTTCTCCCCAAGACTTTCAAGGATCACAAGGCAGTCAGAAATGGTTTTACAGCTTTGGCTACATCAGAGCTGCACAGACTCAAAATTACGGATTTTTTTTTTTTCCTCAAACAAAGAGCCATTTTATAGAAGCACCATTTTGTGATTGGCTCTTTATTTCCTCCTGATTAGAAACACTCCTTCCCTGCAGAATGTCCCAATCTCCAACTGCTTTCCATCCCCTGACAAGTTTCCACCATTCCTCGTTTCCGTTCCCTGAAGGGTCATGGTCCCTCCAGCAGCAGAGGGATGCTGGTGCTGCTGGTGGCACTGGAATGCTGGTGGTGCTGGCAGTGCTGGGGAGGCAGCTGGGTGCTTCTCAGAAACAACTCCCATTCTGGGAAGAGCATCAGGATCATTGCAGAATCCTCCCCTGGGCCCAAAGGAGGACAACATAGCCAAGAATTCCCATTTTTCCAGTGTAATGTTGACTCTAACAGCCCAAGAGAAGAACAGCAGAGAGATGTTTGCAGCCAGGTTATCAGCACTCAGAGCCACCTTAATTACTCCCAATCCCTTTAATGATGCAATGAAAGCTATTAGGGACCAGATTTTTGGGCAATGTGATCCCTTCCAGCACTTCACCAGCAGCTTATCTTCCTCGTCCTCAGTCTTGGGAGCACTTGTGGGTGTTTTCACCTGATCCCACCCCTTTGCCAGCAGGGACATCTTCCACCAAACCAGATTGCTCCAAACCCCATCCAGCGTGGTCTGGAACACTTCCAGGCATGCAGGGGCAGCCACAGCTTCTCTGGGAAACCTGTGCTGGGGCCTCCCTACCCTCACAGGGAAGGATTTCTCCCTAATATCCAATCTGAACCCACCCTCTATCAGTGGGAAGCCATTCCCCCTTGTCCAGTGTCCCTCTCCAGCTCTCCTGGAGCCCCTTTAGCTCATGGATCATGAACTGTTTGCCCTTGACAGGGCTGGCCTAGTGAGGGGATGTGAGATTCCATTGCTGGGGACATGAATGTGGAGTTGGAAGGGAAGAGAGGAGGCAGTTCTGGTCCCAGGGTCTCCATAAATGCCAGTTTCCTGCAGGAGCATCCCAGCTCCCAGATACATGCCAACCTAGATAGGAATAATCTCAACTCATTTCACCTTTGTCGAAATTCCATGGAATTCRCTGTCGGCTGCTGTCTGACTCCCAAGGGAGGATGGACAATGATTTATACAAAACCTCCAACTTTCTAAGGGCTGTACCCAGGAGAGCAGCATTGA